TCCTTGTAAGTGGAAAGAACTCTTTCAGCTGTTTGCCTATATCAGCTGACATATGTCAACGATGTCACACAATAGGCACTGAGACGTGTCATAACTGCCTCTGGGCTGGTGAGCGATAGGGTGAAACTATCGTCTTACGGGCGACATCATCTTGGAAGCGTCTTTGCCTCGCCAGGCCCGTACTGACCGTCAGCTGTCACTGATGGTCTTACGCCATGTACCCTGAGCGACGTGTGTTTGAACTTTGACCTATATCGTACTGTACAACATGTCAGGGGGGCTCTCTACCATTATTTTGAAGCCTATGATGGGTGATGACATCCCCTAAGGCAGATAAATGGAGTACTTGCTCCACCGGGTGATGTCATCCTCAGGCGAGGTCAGCAATCAAAGTGTCTATAATAGTGTGAGTGACAGTCAGTGCTGTTATTAGTTCTATATTTAGAGTTCCTATGAAGACAGTCTGTCATCATGGTCTCCTAATAAGATACTATTACTCTTGGCTGATGATGACGTGTCAGGACGGTAACCGAACATGTGACCTAGTGATAACAGGCAAATTGAGATCATAGGTCATTTAACTTAAGATGTTAACTTTGTTGATATATGGGTAGCATAAGGGTAGCATGACAACATGTCATTGGTAGTTATGGTCCGTTAGAAGAAGCCAAGATTAGCAATGTTCCATCACAGACATTGGGTATTCACCCCCCTTGGATTTTTCACATTTTATTGTGTTACAAAGTGGGAATAAAATGGATTTAGTTGTCTTTTTTTTTGTCAACGATCTACACAAAATACTCTAATGAAAAGGGTGGGGGGGAAATCCTTACATTTCTTTAAAAATAATGAAAAATTAAACACTAATATACCTTGATTAGATACTGTAAGTATTCATCATCCCCCTGAGTCAATACATGTTAGAAACACCTTTGGCAGTGATTACAGCTGTGAGGGTTCTTGGGTTAGTCTCTAAGAGCTTTGCACACCTGGCTTGTGCAATATTTGCCCATTATTTCTTTCAAAATTCTTTAACCTCTGTCAAGGTGTTGGGGTCATGGCTAGACAGCAAGTCTTGCCATAGATTTTCAGGCATATTTAAGTCAAACTGTAACTTGGCCACTCAGGAACATTCACTGTCTTCTTCGTAAGCAACTCCACTGTAGATTTGGCCTTGTGTTGTAGGTTATTGTCCTGCTGAAAGGTGAATTCCTCTCCCAGTGTCTGCTGTAAAGCAGACTAGGTCATTATTGTGGATTAACTACCATGTTGTTGATCCATCCTCAGTTTTCTCCCATCAAAGCCATTGAACACTGTAGCTGTTTTAAAATCACCAATGGCCTCAAGGTGACATCCCTAAGCAGTTTCCTTCCTGTTCTGCAGCTCAGTTCAGAAGGAGGACTGTGTCTTTTGTTGTGTCTGGGTGGTTTAATACGTTATCCACAGCATAATTATTAACTTGACCATACTTAAAGAGATTTGTTAGTGTTACCCATCTACCAATCACTGCCCTTCTTTATGAGGGTTTGGAAAAGCTCCCTGGTCTTTGTAGTTGAATCTGTGCTTGAAATTCAATACTTGACTGAGGGACCTTACAGATGTTGTATGTATGGGGACAGAGGAAGGGGTATTCATTCCAAAATCATGTCAAGCCTTATTATTCCACAGAGAGTGAGTCCATGTAACTTATTATTTGATTTGTTAAACCAAAATGTACTTGCCTAAACATAGGTGGTGAATACTTATGCAATGACTATATTTTAGTGATGCATTTTTGTTTATCAATATCTAAAAATGTGTATAATTTTTTTTTCACTTTGACATTATGGATTATTTTGTGTAGATCAATGACAACAAATCACAATGAAATCCATTTAAATCCCACTTAGTAACACAACAAAATGTATGTTTTGGCTAACACTGTATATTAGCTTTAGATACACACCCCACAATCGGTCTGACAAAAGAATCAAGCCACAGTAGCAGGGAAGGATGATGCAACATAGAGCAATCCACTCAATAGGAAGTTGTGTGACCAGCCAGGATAACAACAAGGCAACCCAACTAGACATCCAGCCCCTGCCCAACCCTCCATTCCAGTCAAAATATAACTAAGCCCCCTTAAAGTGGCGGGTACTGATTTGCCCCTCTGTGCTACTCCAACAGTTTTTGTTGACAGGTGTATTCAACGACTCATTCTGATATTTGGTGGTCCTCTGTAGCTCAGCTGGTAGAGCACGGCACTTGTAACGCCAAGGTAGTGGGTTCGATCCCCGGGACCACCCATACACAAAAATGTATGCACTCATGACTGTAAGTCGCTTTGGATAAAAGCGTCTGCTAAATGGCATATTATTATTATTATTATTTATATTTAGTCATTCCCGAACTGTTGACCCACCAAAATAGCTGCAAGTTTCTTCTCTCACCTGTTATTACCCAATATAGCAACGGATCAAAAATAAACAGTGTGAATGTATTGTTCTCAAATACAATAATTTTCCTTCATGTTTACTTTACATGATCAATATCAGCATCTCTGCACAATAAACAAACCAAAATGAAGGACAACTGTAATGATGGAGAGTTCTCGTTTCATGTCATGACAGTTCCTCTTCACAGAACATGATGCGTGTTTGTGAGACGGAACATGCTGAGACAGAAGGGATATTGTTGCATCTGTCAGTGTTTACTCAGTAAATAAGCCCCTCGAAACTCCTTCCCTAAAATGTACCAACTCTCCAGAGCCCCATGTGAACTTTGGGAGCCAGTCAGTCTGCTGCAGGCAGTATAAAAATATCAGAGATCCCCCACAGCACTGGACTTCACGGTATCACTCTATTTTTCATCCAAATGATGAGCTCAACTGTCATCAGGTTGTCAGTTAAATGCAGACGTCACAGAACTCTGCGATCTCAATTATGTTTAATATATTATGGTCACTTTTTAGTTTTGTAACACCAAAATAAAAACAAAGTTACAAAAGAGATTGTATAGAGGGGTTTTAGGACCCTTGAGACATCTTACAGACTCTTACAGTCAATGTGCCCTAAATCCTTCAGACCCAAATGCCTGCTGGTATGAGTGAGTGAATGTACAGTACGTACAGTATGAAGCCTGTAGGGAACTCTGGCCTACATACATGTATACAGTATCTGACCTTAAAAGCTCCCAGGTGGGGGGGGCGCATCTGTATGTGCATTCCTACCCCATTTTTCTCTCCAGCTGAAGTTGGGTAGATGTATTTCACATACTGACTGCTTTTAGCATCTAGAAACACTATCCTCCTGCCTGTCCAGTCAGATATACAAACCAGGGAAATCATCAACGTTACAATTGGTCCGACCAGTTTGGGCAGGAGGCAGGATCACTTTGTAATTAACCTATAAAACATACTTTCATGGAGTTCAGAGGAGGAAAGAATAATAGCTAGAAAAAAAAAAGTTGCTAATTCGACAAGGACACAAACATGAGTATTGGTTAAACCATTAGGCCTTTATCCTGACTTGGAGGCCCAAAGCCCAAGCAGACCAAAATAACTGTCTCATCAATGGCAATTAAGTCAATAGACAGTAGGTAAAATAAAAACATGTAATTTATTAATGAATAATAATTATAAATCAAGTACAGATATGAACAATATTTCTACAGCTCTAATATCTCAATAATGATTCTCAGGCATGGGTACATTAAAAAATATAATATATTATTCTAAGCAACTCAGTTGGTAGAGCATGGCGCTTGCAACGCCAGGGTGGTGGGTTTGATTCCCACGGGGGGCCAGTATGAAAATGTATGCACTCACTAACTGTAAGTCGCTCTGGATAAGAGCGTCTGCTAAATGACTAAAATGTAAAAAAATAAAACCTTAACCTTAAGAATATGTACATGTTTCCTTTTCGGTCCCCCCAAAAATAATAACATTCTATTTTCCTTGTCAGTACATGGACAGGTTGGCTTCACTGCAAGGAACTCACCTCAATGGTTTCCACATATAAACCACATCAACATAGATTACAGTTTAAAAGGCTAAACTTGAGATGACTAGGTAAGGAAGCAGATACAGTTTACTCTCTATACTGAATCACTGTGAAAGAGAGACAGCTTCAGTACACTACACCTCAACGCTAATACAATAAGACTTATGCCAACCAGTTCTTACAGTGCCCAAAGCTATTCTGTGATCAAAGATTTATAATTGGCATAATTCATCTCTTACTAACGTGATCAAAGATTCATAATTGGCATAATTCATATCTCTTACTAACGTGTTGTAATGTCATGTACTTCATAAAACACATATCTTAAAGGTCTAGTAACAATATGAAATGTACACACCACTGGTTTCCCTTCAAAACATATAAGACAGTATTTCTCTAGCCTAAAAAGATACCAAGATGAATCTGAAAAACTAAAATGTAATACCTGCTCACTCCGACCGGTGCCAAAAAAGCTATTAGTGCAGGTCTGAGATTGGCAGGAGCCAGGGTAATCACGCTGCAGTATGGGTTGAGTGAGTGTGTGTGTTTGTGAGAAAGAGGCTTAATGTTTCTCTCCCCATCCCGCAGGCTCCCCAGCCTGTTTGTTGATTTCAGCAGCATGTCAGACTGGTTATAATAACTGAACATGGGACAGAATGAAGACGAATGGGCTTCAGTTTAGACTCTGAAACCTGTTGGCAACGTTAAGGTGCTCTGTCAATTGATTGATTGTGGGCAAATCTGTGGATATGTTATGTGCATTTTATAAAGAGAAAAAACTACTTCAATTTAAAAATGTTACTTTTCTTGTTGAAACAGTCAGGCATCCGTTGGAAGCCCTTGGAGTTGCTTGATTGCTCCCTTTCCATTACATTTTCTGTCCACACCAACTTGTTTTTATCATGCAGATGCAGGCCAATCCTTGTCATTGGCTAGGTTACCAGGTTACCCGAGTACCTGGCTAATAAATACCATTTGGATATATTCATACATCTATGTTTCAGCTAAGCTTGTCTCTCTAGTTACTTGTCTTGAAGATCACTTTGGCCACAAGCACAAAATGTTCAACAACGAAGGACACAACAAAGTGAAACAGAAGTTCAAAACGTTTGGAAGGCTTGAGTCCCTGGCCTCAACTTGATGCACATCCAGTCATTGCTTTGTTTGTCGATGAAAGCTTCTCAAGGGCTTTGTTCAGCCAAAGTCTATTCGTGGCCTGTACTCCAGGACCATGGGATATGTCTGAGGAGAGAGTGTAGAGAGAGTACTGTTTATTCTCAGTTACCTGGAAATGTATACAGACACAACTTGCAAAGTAAATAGCCTAGTAGATGCTGGCACGTTCTGACAAGTGTATTTAACTAATGAGCTTTGCAATTCCATCTAAAATGGCCCATATTTCAGACAGAATTGCCCCTTTCAACTGACTTCAAGCCAAAGTTTTCATGTATGGTGTTTTAAGGAGAACACACTTTCCTGTGAACCCCCCCAGATCCCTATGGCTGACAGTTGAAAGAAGACAGTATTGGACATTCAGATTAGAGCCCTGCACAGACATGACATGTAAACCCAAGCCCTAACCATGCCTACGACGTTCATGTCCCCCCCTACCCATGCCTACGACGTTCATGTCCCCCCATACCCATGCCTACGACGTTCATGTCCCCCCCTACCCATGCCTACGACGTTCATGTCCTACCCTACCCATGCCTACGACGTTCATGTACTTTCCTACCCATGCCTACGACGTTCATGTCCTTCCCTACCCATGCCTACGACGTTCATGTACTTTCCTACCCATGCCTACGACGTTCATGTCCCCCCCTACCCATGCCTACGACGTTCATGTCCCCCCCTACCCATGCCTACGACGTTCATGTCCCCCCCTACCCATGCCTACGACGTTCATGTCCTACCCTACCCATGCCTACGACGTTCATGTACTTTCCTACCCATGCCTACGACGTTCATGTCCTTCCCTACCCATGCCTACGACGTTCATGTACTTTCCTACCCATGCCTACGACGTTCATGTCCTTCCCTACCCATGCCTACGACGTTCATACCCATGCCTACGACGTTCATGTCCATGCCTACGACATTCATACCCATGCCTACGACATTCATACCCATGCCTACAACGTTCATGTACTCCCCTACCCATGCCTACGACATTCATGTCCTATCCTATCCATGCCTACGACGTTCATGTCCTATCCTACCCATGCCTACGACGTTCATGTCCTTCCCTACCCATGCCTACGACATTCATACCCATGCCTACGGCGTTCATGTCCTATCCTACCCATGCCTACGACGTTCATGTCCCCCCTACCCAAGGCTATGACGTTCATACCCATGCCTACGACGTTCATGTCCTTCCCTACCCACGCCTACGACATTCATACCCATGCCTACGACATTCATGTCCTTCTCTACCCATGCCTACGATGTTAATGTCCTTCCCTACCCATGCCTACGACGTTCATGTCCCCCCTACCCAAGGCTATGACGTTCATACCCATGCCTACGACGTTCATGTCCTTCCCTACCCATGCCTACGACGTTCATGTCCTTCTCTACCCATGCCTACGATGTTCATGTCCTTCCCTACCCAGGCCTGATTGAATCTGCGAAATATAAGGCCGGCCCTGCCCTGCCTGAACCTCAAATAACTTTCTCTGTCTGCCCCCCGCTCTGTCCCTGCGCTGCATCTGCTCCATGCGCTCTCTGCATGTGTGAGTATCCATAGAAACGGCTACGGTTGAGTGTTCATGAGAGGAGAGAGAGAGAGAGCTGTTAACTAGCTACTTTTTATCACTCTAAACTCTGACAAAACTCACTGATTATTATTATTTTCTGTGAAATAATCTCTCCTGTCGACTCGGATAATGTTCTGGTCTTATATTTTACGAGGTTGAAGCACTTCTAACACCATGTTATGACAGTAAGATATGACTGTACAGAGACACTGAGCAGCAGAGCAGGAGGGAGCAAATGGCTCCGCTTCAAAATGTTAGTGATCAATTTAATAATTATTTCAAATGATACCCAAGCCCGGCTCGTACCCTAGTTATTGATGAAATAAAACAGGCCCTACCCAGCCCTAACCTGATCAGGTTTGGGTAGCAGAGCTCTAAATCAGATGCATGGCACTGAGTTATGCTTTTGTGATGTCTCTATGAATTATCTGCAGTCAGTCCAAGCTTTACTGCTACTGATGATTCCTAGGGGTTTGGTGGATATTCATCTATAAAACACTGTCTGGATTTATTTGTAATGCTGTACACACACACACCAGGCTGTCATACATGCTCCCCTTCACACTTATATCTCTATTGTTGAATTCTACTAGGCTTAGCCTGGCCTAGTTTGGTGCGGCACGTGAGCACACAGTTTGTGGACTGAAGGTCAGGGCCTGAGTCTGGTTTACTGGGTAAACCCCCCCTCTTTTTTTTTTTTTTGGGGGGGGGGGGGACGTGTAGTTTAAGGCTGATGAGCACAATATCATTCAACTTTCAGTGTTTCTTTCCTTCTACTTTGCTCTCTGTTTAATATGAGCGAGTTGTTCAGGATGTGGCAACACGAGAAGGCTTTTTAATCAGCCCCTTTAATAGGCCTAATGCCTGACCGTGGTAGTGACAGTTGGGTAAGAAGACAGAACAACTAAAGCTGAACTGCCAATGTAAAGACAGTTGGTCGGAGGGCAGGGACAGGCAGGAAATGACATAACGATAACACAATCCTATGTTGTAATGAGCTCTATCTATGGCAGGGGTGTCAAACTAATTTTTCCCGAGGGCCGCATTCGGTCTTCAACAAGGTCCAGGGGGCCGCACAGAAACTGTGTTATATTTCCACGGCGTCAAAATTTGCCAGAAATAGTCCTCTATCCATCGTTTCTGGAATTTTCTATGCTCCCTGACTCTCTAGCTTTCATTTCAGTGATTATTAGCAAGCTGGACAGTCAAGAAACTGTATGAATCTAGGTCCATTATCGTTGACAGTTTCAATTTGGTTTGAGTCATTTTAAAGTATATTGAGTTCATTCGTTCCCCCCGAAATCAAATCAAATTTACTCAAACCACCCACGAGCCGGATTGGAACCTCTCGCGGTATGTTTGACACCCCTGATCTATTGTGTATTGGGTATTAGGGTGGGAGTGGAAGATTTCTGGGCATGCCAGAGAGAACATGATCAATAACAGGGCATTGAGAAGTATAGAGGTTACCTAAGAACCGGGTGAGACAGGGGAAGTGTGGAGGAAAGGACAGAAACAGGACATAAGAGACTCACGTTGTCACCGTGCAGCCTCCAGCGTGTCATGTAGATGAACTCCAGAGTGTGGTCCTTACCCATGATCTCCCCGTTACACAGCACATCCAGCTGGGGAGAGAGGACACACAGAGACAGAGACAGAGACAGAGACAGAGACAGAGACAGAGACAGAGACAGAGACAGAGACAGAGACATGTGCTCGCTCGCGCGTAAACAAACACAAAGGCGCGTTATAGTCATTATTCCCTTTCCTATACCCATCATCAGTATAGTGTAAAGTTATGTACATTATAACATAAAAACAGTAGTAATCTTACCTCACAAGAGCTTGAAAGCTTTAACTTTAGACTAAGAAACTTCTTGATGGTTCCCACCGTGACTCGACTAGAGCAGCGAATGAACTTCTTCATTAAACACTGGGATAAATAACATGAGTATGTTTATTGTACATTCAGATAGAACACAGAGTACACGCAAATAATACCTGAACTGGCCTGAGCATATTGAAAGAAACACTCACACAGAACACTCCCATGGGAAGAGGAAAATAATTCAAACACACCAAGTACGTGAGCATGGTTAGGGGGGGTTGGAGAATTTTGCATTTTTCAAACACCCGAAACAGCATCTTCCTGCAATCTAGAGCCATAATCATTATGCTTAATTCTGTGTCAAAAATATGTTTATTTTTCTGCATATCTGTCTGTATCCTCCTGACTGGTGGTTCTTTTTTTAAAGAAACGAAATATGCTTCTCTGCAGCTCTGATAAAATCTGGGTATAAGATTGAAATGAATGTGAGTCTTATTCAGTATATTGCTTGCTTTTCTAAAGTCTACCAACCTTGCCAGCTAAGATAGATAGACAAGTTAGCTACTCTCACTTGATTGATAGCCTGAAATGGCTTCTTGGCAGCTAGTTATGAGGTTGGGTAGATTGGGAACCTATCTGGGCTAGCTAAAACCAACTTCATACAATTTCTAGGTGGCTAGTAATTTAGAATTACAGAGAAACAACACAAACTTCAACAAAAATATATATTTTTGTATTATTATGATTATTATTTTTAAAACTGACAAATCTGAGGGGGCACATGCCCCTGTTGCTCCCTATGTGCGTTGCGCCTCTGCACACACACACACACACACACCTTCACTGTGTTGTCTGCAGCATGACCATTGTTGTGGAGACAGTCCAGGCAGATGGCTATCTGGGGGTCGCTCCTGTGATAATCCTGACCATCTTCATCACCATCCTCATCATCACTGAGCCCAAGCCTCTTAGACCCAAGGCCGCCTCCTGTGGGATCGCAGAGCACATGTGATTTCAGGAGATCATACTAGCAAGCCTAGCTGAAAGAAATGTCCAATATCAGTGCTTTACTCTACTAATGTGTAATGACATACTTATTACATTTTACAGTAACACCCAGTACAATTTGTGAGAGTGACTTCGTTACTGAGACTTATTCCGTACCTTGTCCATTTTCTTGTGACGTATTCTTCCTCCAGAAATCAATCTCCTGCTGTTCCTCTTCTGGTCCACACACACAGTCATAAAGAAAACAGAAGAAATACAAGGTACTCTCATGAGTCCCATTATATCTAATGACAAGTCTCCTTCAAGGAGTGATTGAAATTATTGACTTTGACTGAGAGATCATTAAGAAATATATCATCCGTTTTTTCCTAGATGACAAGAACTCACTGTCTCGTAATCCAGGCACAAGCTTGAAAATTATTTCCTCAAGAGTATTGTCCAACCTGAGAAGAGAGAGAGGACCAGTGAAGATGAGAGAGGAAGTGACACAGGTAAAGAGAAAGAGGAGGCTGTGGTTTGTGCCGACAGTCCACTTGCAGTATTCAAAGCAAAGTGAAGGCCAAGTGTTTGTTGTTATCTTCATTCAGGAAAAAAAGAGTTTCAAAAGGGTTCTTCGGCTGTCCCCATAGGAGAACCCTTTTTGGTTCCAGGTAGAACCCTTTTTGGTTCCAGGTAGAACCCTTTTTGGTTCTATGTAGAACCCTCTGTGGAAAGGTTCTACATGGGACCCAAAAAGTTTCTACCTGGAACCAAAAAGGTTATGCCTGTAAACAAAAAGGGTTCTTCAAAGGGCTATCCTATGGGAACAGCCAAAGAACCTTCTTAGGTTCTAGATAGCACATTTCTTTTTAAGAGTGTTGTTGTCTGTCAGAGATGGTTAGCGCTAGTGGAGGACTATGTTTGTATGTGTCATACCTTAGCATCTCTAGAGGGTTGGTTTCATGGACTTGAATGCCACATTTGGGACAGTCGTTACTGTCTTCGAAGTGCTGGATGATGCAGCTCTTACAAACTGGAAAACAAGATAAATCCTACTACTATTATATAGTGTAAGACGCTTAGAGTGTATGTGGGAGAAAATGGAGTGAGGGGACATATAGAGGGAAGGAAGCAATAGAAAGTTAGACAAAGAATATGTAATATCTTAACTTAACCCGTTTCTCACAGCAGGAAAATAATCCTGTAGCAACAGGACAATTATGTGGATTATAATTAATGGACATTTTTGTAGGGGTTGATCCTTTTTTTGTAAGGTAAAATCAAGTCTGACATTTAAGTGGAAACTAAAACTTTAGAAGCCTTTTTAAACCTTGAATACACTACAAGGTTGCATTACCTGGTGCACAGGAATTGTGTGATTGTGTGTGTGTGTGTGTGTGTGTGTGTGTACATGAGCATGTGTGTGTGTGTGAGTGTGTGTTACTTACATGTGTGCAGGCACTCAGTGACCGTGGTGGGTTTGATCAGGTAACCTCTGCACAGGTTACAGGTAATAAAGTGGTTAAAGTCTTTGACCAGGGGTGTCCTCTGTGTGGCCATGGTCAGCCAGTGCAGAGCTGGGGAGGTCAGCAATCACAGAGGTCCCTGCAGCCCCTGACACTGCTGCTGGGGTGACCCCTGTATCTTCATCATCCTCAGCCAGTACTCATTGGCTGGGAAACACATTCTTCTGAAGACCATCTGATACTTTCACCCTCAGATTACCTGTCAGACAGAATATAAAGTAGAAAAGATAGGAAAGTATATGGTTATACCATGTGCTGCACGCAGGTGAGGTAACAGGTTCATTCAACGTCCCAGGATGACATTCAAATAAAATGTGCAAAATAAAATACAACTATTTACCACGTTTCTGAATGCACGACTTGCCTATATGCTTGTCAAAATCATACTTAAAAAATGACTGTCATGCTGCCACTAGAGCATGCACCTGCTTCATCTATCCCCATCATATAAGCCATGCATTGACAACCAGATAGTACAGTTTATAAACGTCCTAATGACAAAACACATTAAAGTAAATTAACTATAAATAGTAGTCTAGGATGACCGAGAAAGTCGGTACGTAGAGGGACACATAAAGGCGTAAACGTCATACAAATGCCCTCGGTTTACTAGAACAATCCTTGATACGCAGTTAAGAAATACAAAAGGACCACACGCTTCACTGTGCAAATCGGTAAGCTACACTAAGCTATCTCATCGTAGAGAACGTTACGGTTAGTGTCACCTGTATCATAACAACATTGAAGCACCACACATTTGGCTACTGACTGTTGCCACTAAGACATTCGCGACACGCCACATACTTGAAATAAAGTTGCGACTCGCAAGGAGATAGCGGAATGAAGTAAAGTCGAGCTAAATAAACATGCTCTATAAACGTTAAGAAAAAGCACTAGCATTAGCAACCTACATTCAGTTATGTCACACGATAGACGAAACATAAACCATAATCCCACCCCCAAAGTTTGACTGTAGGCTATATCGGGGATGATAAACCGATTATTTTTAGGCTATTTTCTGTCTTAAAATGTTTGAACAACATAGGCTACATTTTTTTCTTACCTACCTCGTAACCTCTACCTTTCCCATTAGGATTTATTATAGCTGGTAGAATGGGAAGAATTGTCTGTCCGTGACACTGCGTTCTCTAGGTGATATCAACTACGTAGGCTAGTATGAAACTAGTGGCAAGAATACGGAATTTATGGTGCGTTCATGAAAACTGGGAACTCGGAAAAAACGAGCTCAGACTGGACTTTCCAACCTGAAAATCACTGACCATGATGCCCGAGTTTCCGACTTGGAATGCCAAATTGGATGACCGTCAAAGATTATTCCCAGGCGGAGCTCGTTTTTTCCGAATTCCCAGTTGTCGTGAATGCACTGAAGTCGGAGGTCGGAGATTTCCTAGTTCTGAGTTCAAGCCTAATCACACCGATAGTGTTTTGCGCTAAATGGTACGCAGCATCATATGAATATGTGTGCAAGAAAGTTCAACGTTCACCTTCTGCTAACATTTCTGCCAAGCCATCTACGCATCGATAAATACAACGTACTGCCTCTGCAATGCTGCAATACAATCATCGATAAATACAACGTACTGCCTCTGCAATGCTGCAATACAATCACAGCGTTCCATTGGAAATGAATGTACTTCTGTGGTACCAACACGCAAAGATAAGGTCGGTGTGATCAAGGCGTCAGAGTTGTCTTGAACGCACCATTATGTTGCATTCATGTCCTATCGGAAACTTGGAACCTCAGAGTTCAAATGAACATAAATTATTTGCGTAGAGCTTCCTATTGGTTGATTCTGATACCTCCTAAATCGGAAACTCGGGATAAACACGGGTTCCGACTCTTCCATCTAGGTTAGCAAGTCGGACATTTGAGTTTCCTAGTTCCGACTAGCATTTGAACGCGGCATTACCTCAGCCTCCCAGCCATGCAGATCTGAAAAGTGGGCTGGAGATTCACCAAAGCGTGTGATGCTGCCAATTCATACGCTGTGTCCACACAGGTTATTGCTGTATGGTACATTTTACTTAGTCTGCATCACACAAAAAAAAGAATCACGCTACACATGACCAACTTCTTCAGTGGTTTTTGCCGCGCTCATATGCTATTCGGAACTAGGAAACTCAGACATTTCCGACTTGCTAACTCACATGTGTCAAACTCTACCCTTACTTGGTTGACAAATGAAGGTCACTAATTAATAAGGAACTCCCCACACCTGGTTATCTAGGTCTTAATTGAAAGGGAAAAAACTAAAAACCTGCAGACACGCGGCCCTCTTTGGATTTAGTTTGACACCCCTGTGCTAACTGGTTGAACGCGGCACGTGTATAACTACAACCAGTTAGCAAGTTGGACATTTCTGAGTTCCCTAGTTACGACTATCAAGTGAACGCGGCATTACTACTGGTAGCCTTCCACATGCAATGCAACACATGTTGAAAAAATCCAACGCATGCGACTCACGGAGTGCAAAGCACCGCAACCTAGTCCGGCAGATGAGTCGCAGCAGTGTGGATTGCCTCCCAATGAAATGAATGGACTTCTGGCGGAACACATGCTATTCATTGACTACAGCTCAGCGTTCAACACCATAGTGCCCTCAAAGCTCATCACTAAGCAAAGGACCCTGGGACTAAACACCTCCCTCTGCAACTGGATCCTAGACTTCCTGACGGGCCGCCCCCAGGTGGTAAGGGTAGGTAACAACACATCTGCTAATTGTAGGGATTTATTTTCTATTGATAATGTCAAATTAACAGCCATCCAGAAAGACTCATGTGAAGGTGAAATTACAGAGGAGGAACTTCTGGATGCAATTAAATACTTTAAGTACGGGAAAACTCCAGGGCTGGATGGCATACCAGTTGAGGTATACCAAACCTTTTTTGATATACTCAGAGGACCGTTATTAGCATGTTTTATCCACTCCTATGTTAATGGTAGATTAGTCCCGTGTAGCTCAGTTGGTAATAATATAATATAATATGCCATTTAGCAGACGCTTTTATCCAAAGCGACTTACAGTCATGTGTGTATACATTTTTACGTATGGGTGGTCCCGGGGATCGACTAACTGTAAGTCGCTCTGGATAGGAGCGTCTGCTAAATGACTAAAATGTAAATGTAATTATCAGACACTCAAGAAGAAGGTCTAATTTCGTTATTACTGAAACAGGATACAAGTGGGAAATATAAAGATCCAGTCCATAAAAACATTGGAGGCCCCTTACACTTCACTGTTATGATGCAAAACATTTTGCAAAATGTATAGCGCATAGAATTAAAAAGGTATTGTCGGACATTATTCATCCTAATCAGACAGGTTTTTTACATGGACGATACATTGGAGATAATATAAGGCAAGTACTGGAAACAATAGAACACAATGAAACATCTGGGAAACCAGGCCTGCTATTCAAAGCAGACTTTGAAAAGACATTTGATAAAGTACGACTGGAGTTTATATATAAATGCCTGGAGCATTTCGATTTTGGAGATTCTCTTATAAAATGGGTTAAAATCATGTATAATAACCCTAGGTGTAAAATAGTCAATAATGGCTATTTCTCCAAAAGTTTTAAACTGTCAAGAGGAGTAAAACAAGGTTGTCCACTATTGGCATATCTATTTATTATGGCCATCGAAATGTTAGCTATTAAAATCAGATCCAACAATAATATCAAGGGATTAGAAATCCAGGGTTTAAAAACAAAGGTGTTATTGTACACTGATGATTAATGTTTTCTTTTAAATCCACAACTTGAATCCCTCCACAGCCTCATAGAGGATATAGATACATTTTCTAACCGCTCTGGATTACAACCAAATTATTATAAATGTACTATATTACGTATTGGATCACTAAAAAATACAATTTTTACATTACCATGTACAGTCGTGGTCAAACGTTTTGAGAATGACACAAATACTAATTTTCACAAAGTCTGCTGCCTCAGTTTTGATGATGGCAATTTGCATATACTCCAGAATGTCATGAAGAGTGATCAGATTAATTGCAAAGTCCCTATTTGCCATGAAAATGAACTTAATCCCCAAAAAACATTTAAACTGCATTTCAGCCCTGCCACAAAAGGACCAGCTGCCATCATGTCAGTGATTCTCTCATTAACACAGTTGAGAGTGTTGACGAGGACAAGGCTGGAGATCACTCTGTCATGCTGATTGAGTTAGAATAACAGACTGGAAGCTTTAAAAGGAGGGTGGTGCTTGAAATCATTGTTCTTCCTCTGTTAACCATGGTTACCTGCAAGGAAACACGTGCTGTCATCATTGCTTTGCACAAAAAGGGCTTCACAGGCAAGGATATTGCTGCTAGTAAGATTGCACCTAAATCAACCATTAATCGGATCATCAAGAACTTCAAGGAGAAAGGTTCAATTGTTGTGAAGAAGGCGTCAAGGCGCCCAAGAAAGTCCAGCAAGCGCCAGGACCGTCTCCTAAAGTTGATTTAGCTGCAGGATCGGGGCACCACCAGTGCAGAGCTTGCTCAGGAATGGCAGCAGGCAGGTGTGAGTGCATCTGCACGCACAGTGAGGCGAAGACTTTTGGAGGATGGCCTGGTGTCAAGAAGGGCAGCAAAGAAGCCATTTCTCTCCAGGAAAAACATCAGGGACAGACTGATATTCTGCAAAAGGTACAGGGATTGGACTGCTGAGGACTGGGGTAAAGTAATTTTTTCTGATGAATCCCCTTTCCGATTGTTTGGGGCATCCGGAAAACACCTTGTCCGGAGAAGACAAGGTGAGCGCTACCATCAGTCCTGTGTCATGCCAACAGTAAAGCATCCTGAGACCATTCATGTGTGGGGTTGCTTCTCAGCCAAGGGAGTTGGCTCACTCTCATTTTTGCCTAAGAACACAGCCATGAATAAAGAATGGTACCATCCTCACCACACATCCTCCGAGAGCAACTTCTCCCAACCATCCAAGAACAGTTTGGTGACGACCAATGCCTTTTCCAGCATGATGGAGCACCTTGCCATAAGGCAAAAGTGATAACTAAGTGGCTCGGGGAACAAAATGTCCAAATTCTGGGTCCATGGCCAGGAAACTCCCCAGACCTTAATCCCATTGAGAACTTGTGGTCGATCCTCAAGAGGCAGGTGGACAAACAAAAACCCACAAATTCTGACAAACTCCAAGCATTGATTATGCAAGAATGGGCTGCCATCAGTCATGATGCTACATTTGCACACACTGTATATATATTTTCTGTTGTATTTTTTGACTTTATGTTTTTTTACCCCATATGTAACTCTGTGTTGTTGTTTTCATCGCACTGCTTTGCTTTATCTTGGCCAGGTCGCAGTTGTAAATGAGAACTTGTTCTCAACTGGCTTACCTGGTTAAATAAAGGTGAAATAAAATAAATAAATAAAAATGATGTGGCCCAGAAGTTAATTGACAGCATGCCAGGGCGGATTGCAGAGGCCTTGAAAAAGAAAGGTCAAGACTGCAAATATTGACTCTTTGCATAAACTTAATATAATTGTCAATAAAAGCCTTTGACACTTGTAATTATACTTCAGTATACCATAGTAACATCTGACAAAAATATCTCATAACACTGAAGCAGCGAACTTTGTGAAGAACAATACTTGTCATTCTCAAAACTTTTGACCACGACTGTAGTTTACCATTAAAATGGTCTGATGGTGACGTGGATATACTAGGAATACATATCCCAAATGAAATAAATGATCTCACTCCAATACATTTTAATAGCAAGTTAGCAAAATAGATAAGATCTTGCTACCATGGAAAGGTAAATACCTGTCTATTTGTGGAAAAATCACCCTGATTAACTCTTTAGTATTATCCCAGTTTCCCTATTTGCATATGGTCTTGCCTACGCCTAGTGAACAGTTTTTTAAATTATATGAGAAAAAAATATTCAATTTTATTTGGAATGGCAAGCCAGACAAAATTAAACGGGCCTATCTATATAATGAATATGAATTCGGAGGACAGAAATTATGAAATATTAAAGCATTAGACCTACAGTGGGGGGAAAAAGTATTTAGTCAGCCACCAATTGTGCAAGTTCTCCCACTTAAAAAGATGAGAGAGGCCTGTAATTTTCATCATAGGTACACGTCAACTATGACAGACAAATTGAGAAAAATAAATCCAGAAAATCA